AACGATAATTGGATTTGTAAAATGGGACTCTAAAAATACGTGATCTATTCCTGAGCTAGTTTTTATAGCAGATGATGCTAATAATATGAAATTTAACGATGGAGCGTGAGTCAAAACGAGATAATGATCGAACCGAAGGGCATACTACCCGGATGTAGGTTTGGTCGATGGGGGATTCGTGGTCGACCTCGAGATCGAGCTCAGGCTATCGAGGACAATCGAGGGTAGTATAACAATTTGAGATATAATCAAATGAAGCTCTTTATAGTCAAAACTAAGTTATAAGATGAAGAACTCATATAAAAGCGAAGGATATCGAGGTATCCTCTGATCAGTGAGAGCCAATAAGTTTAGAAAGAAGAGAAAGAGAGAGAGAGAGAGAGAGAGAGAGAGAGAGAGAGAGATTATTGCACTTGTGGAGAAATATAGTAACATCAGTCCTTTACAAGGTAGGGCGAGTCCCCTTTATATAGGAAGGGAACTCATTTACGAATACATGTATATTTAATTTACGAAATATGGAGATGTGATGGCTTGACGCGACGCCTCAGCGTAGGCTATAGATAGGTCGGCCTTGTCAGACTCAACCGCATGTCTCGGGGGCTTCCCCTCTTTATCTTTATCTCGGCCCCGAACCGGGCTTTGACAAGCCCCGAAGGAGAGGGCTAAGCTGTGGCTTCATATCCTCGGGGTCTCAAGGTACCTCCCCGAGATGGCTTAATGGCGGAAAATCGGGCCTTATGATTTCACCGCGTATAGTTGTATCTACCTTTTGATTCTCTCGTTGCTGCTTACCATATGGGTGGATAGATTTTCACGCCTTAGGGCTCCTTATCAAGAAGATTACACATCTTAGTAAACACATGATCTGTTAAAGATCTCATATTTACTCATCATAAGCATGATGCAAAAACAAGTTCCTCTGACCCAACTCTTCCACAGCTACATCTCTTACCAACTATCTTTATGGATTTAGACATCATTATATTTCAAATGAAATAGAATTTAGGAGTTCGAATTCGCTCAGAAGGCAGCTCACCGCGAAGTCTGGTAGTAGTAGTCAAGGATGCGCACCGGACTGATATCCAGATGACCTGCCTCAGATCCTACACATTTAGTACATAAGTGTAGCGTGATCATATAAACAACATGTACCCAGTAAGTATCTAGTCTATCCTCGAAGAAGTAGTGACGAGGGGTCGACTTTGACACTTACTATGGGCAAACAATAAAAGTGTCAAAATTATGAAAAAGCTTGGATTACAGAAATATAGCTGAAAACTCAATAACAAGAAATAGTAAACAATCCTTTCACTAATAGTAAATACCAAATTTATTTGCATCATTTAAAAATTTACATCTCAAGCCAATGAAGCAGTATATCAATTATAATTGGTTCCAAAGATTTATTACACGCAATTTATGCCGAGGTCATACGGCCTGATCAAACGCAGTCAATTTAAGCTATGCACTGCCGTGGGTCGAAAGGCACAAACCATAGATGCATCTATCTGCTACCGAGGCGTTCGGCACACTCCACGAAAAGAGAAATTACTTTATAATAGGCGATTCAAGATTTATTAAGAGTCTAATATTCAAAGAAAAATCAATTCTCAATAACAGTCAAGTGATCCGTCCAAGAATTCAAGTAAATGAAATTTAACCTTTTATAATTCCTTTATCAAGTTCCAACATGACTTAAGCAATTAAGTTAACAAATAGGGTGCAAACATTGTAAGTATGGCATGGTATGGGTCCTAGACTACCTGTACATAAGCATAATTAGTAGCTACGTACGGACTCTCGTCACCACGTGCGTGCGTAGCCACCACAAATAGGAGTACATATTAATCAATTCACCTATGGGGTTAATTTACTCTTACAAGGTTAGAAAAGAGACTTACCTCATCTCAAATCTTACTTTCCGACCCCAAACTCACTCTAAAGCCTCAACTCGGTGACAAACAGTCCAGAACTAGTCAATAGTATACAAATTAATCAATGTTCAAAAGTTCATATCCCAACTATTAAAGTGATTACACAACCTCAATTGTAGGATTCCTAAAAATTTACTCTTACAAGGTTAGAAAAGAGACTTACCTCGTCTCAAATCTTACTTTCTGACCCCAAACTCACTCTAAAGCCTCAACTCGGTGACAAACAATCCAGAACTAGTCAATAGTATACAAATTAATCAATGTTCAAAAGTTCATATCCCAACTATTAAAGTGATTACACAACCTCAATTGTAGGATTCCTAAAAATTTGCCCCGGGCCCACGGGCCCGGATTCCGAAAATTTTCGAAGAAAGTTGTTACCCATAACCTCATGAACTCATATATATGATTTTCACTAAATTCCCTAACAAATTTCGTGGTTAAATCCAATTTTTATCAAAGCCCTAGGTTTTCACTTAAACCCATAATTTTCACTAATTTTAATATTATAATCTACCCATAAACTATGTATTTAACTCACATTCGGTAGAAATTACTTGCCTCAATTAATTGATAAAAATCCCTCTCTAACCAGCTCCAAAATCGCCCTCAAGGAGTGTAAGAGATGAGAAAAAATGCCAATTCTCGTTTCAAAAAGACCACACTGCCTCCAGCAATTCCCCACCTGCGCTTGCAGGGCCACACCTGCGGCATTGCTTCTGCGGACCGAAGTCCGCTTCTGCGGAAGTGCCCAAGGCTGGGTGGCTCCGCTTCTGCAGACGGGGGCCCGCTTCTACCGAGCGTGGGGCGCACCTGCGGTTCATGGGCTGCTTCTGCGGGTCTTTGCTCGCACCTGCGGCTGGCCCTCTGCAGGTGCGATTACACCAAAAGCTGAAGGCTTTAGGTGATGCTCCCAAGCCCAAACTTGGTCCGAGCCTCGTCCGATTAACACCCAGGGCCCTGAGGCCCCGCCCGAACATACCAACAAGTGTGAAATCATAAAACGTACTTGCTCGAACACCCGGAACGCACAAAACACCATTAAAACTAAGAATCACACCCCAAACCAATGGAATAAAAAATTTGAACTTCAACTTCTTCAATTTACTCCCAATGCGCCGAAACGTATTTAAACTACTCAGAATGACACCAAACTTTGAGTGCAAGTCTTAAATGACATTACAGAACTATTCCCGATCTCGGAATCCCATTTGGACCTCGATATCACCGAACCTACTCCAAACAAAATTTAAAGAACTTTAAACCCTTCAAAGAGCCAATTTTCACTATTAGGCGCTGAAACGCTCCCGAGTTTTCTAAAACCCGATCCAAACATAGGCCCAAGTCCGAAATCATCATACGAACCTATTGGGACCGTCAAATCCCGATACCGAGTTCGTTTACTCAAAACGTTGACCGAAGTCATACTTAGCCTTTTAAGGCCAACTTAAGGAACCAAGTGTTCCGATTTCAGCCCAAACTCTTCCAAATTCCGAACTAATCATTCCCGCAAGTCATAAAACAGTAGAAGCACGTACGAGGAGTCTTATTTAGGGGAACAGGGTTCTAGAAGGCAAAATGACAGGTTGGGTCGTTACACAATATATCCAAACGTTTTATTAATCAAACGATACAGTACAATACAATACAGTAAAATACAATACAATGCATTATGAAACGATATGTAACAGCAATCCAAACAAGTTGTTAGCTTCTATCAAGCACATCTCGGATTATGTATACATTTACGAAAACTTAAAATATATCTATAATTTTATATATTTAATAAAATTAAAAAAAATTATCGATTCGCCTTTGGATACATGTAACTATACTATTACTACCAACTTATGGAATTCTCAAATTGATCCTTTAAACAATAACAGAAATGTCATGTATATGTCGTTCAATTACATTATGTAACTTGCGTTGAAATTGGAGAAAAAAATGAAATTGGCGGAAAATCTCTATCGGGATATAGTTTTACTCTAGTGACGTGAAAAACACATAATATTTCTGTTACTTTTTAGTCGATTTCGGGTATTGTGTCAGTCGAACCGAAAATGCATAATTAATTTTAACAAATTTATAAAGGACCGTATAAGCTCAATTGTTAACAACGAAATAGATCTACCGTGAACTATTTGAGTTAAAAAGTCTCACTAAAGTTGTCAAAATTGAGTTCTGGCCTCCATGTGATTCTCAAAAGATGTGAGAGCATGAGTTTCTCAAAAGAAAAATAAAAAGGAAAAAGACATGAGTGTTTTGTTTTTTAATTATTAGTCAGATGAACCCAACAAAGCAGCAAACAGATTAGACCATGACTGCTATAATTACACACAAATTAAGAAAATTACTTTTATAAAGTTTCTTCAGATTATTCTTCCGATGATGTTTCAATCTTGATCTTATTAAAATATATGATCAGGTTGTTGTTTTTTAATGAATTCTTTTTACCAATCAATGTTAAGGCAACCCCCCACCCCCACCCCCCAACACAAAAAAAAAACAAAAAAAAACTTAAAAAAAAGTAAAAGGAACTAAGTAGTACTAAGAAAACTAAGAAAATAAAAAAGTAAAACGTACGAACTACTTAGGTCGATACGGGGTACGTAGTTACCGTACGGTACGACCTTACAACGGGGTAAGGTTACGGTAGGTTTAACGTTACGGTAACGTTACGACCGTTACCGTCCTCACGTTCCTCTCTTTAAATTATATATATATATATATATATATATATATGCGCGCGCGAAAATAACAAAAAATTAACAAAAATATAATTTTGAGGCAATTTCAAAAGTGTAATGGATTCATGAAAATAAAGTAAAGCTAAATCCATGCAATATAAATTGTAAATCTACTAGTGTACCCTTGGTGTCGGAATCTTGGTTCCGCCTCTAATTGGCACGTCAGCTTTTGTAATTTTTTAACTCTTGAATTCGGTTAAATTTTTTATTAATAAGCCGTCAAGAAGATATGATCTCATCAATGATTTAACCAAGTAAAAAGTTTATTTTTTCTTTTCTCTCTCTACGTATATATATAATCAGTAATTTTAGGCTTAATCATCTGAGCATATTCTTGGTTTTGGCTTCTCCATCCTTGAGAAGCCAGCATATCATGCAACAACATAGTTCTAAGAAAACAGAGAACTTGCAAATTAATGTTGTCTTTTGTTGTGCTTTGCAAGATCATGATCTGCTCTGACTCTATATAGGAAATACTCAACTCGTCATAGAGAAGAGACCAAAAGTCTCAGTCCCTTCCATAACCTTCCCTTGAACCTAAACTGGTCAACAGTATTAATCTTCGTGGCGATGGGAAGAAAATGGTAAATCATGACCGCCATGGCTCAATAAGAAGGAAGAAATATTTCAGGAGACAAAGCGTCATACATATACTCGGGTTTATATTAAGTCATGGCAGAGGTGAATTCAAGATTTTGTGTCAAAGATTCAGAATGAGTATGATTCTATTAAATATTTACATTTATTTTATCCTTTGCGTGTGTATAAGTGATTTATGTTGAATGTAGTGAGTTCAGTTAAATTTGGGTACCCAACATGAGGGCGTCAAGACAAATGAAGTGTACAAGTAAGGCATGGAACTTAAGTGAAGATTGAAAGTATTTGTGTTCAAATGCTTAGCAGATCAGTGCTCACTTCTCAGATATCTGTCATTGCCAAAATGGTTCGCTATTGGCATTTTCTTCCAAGAAAACCTTCAAATATTTGATGGTTTAATTTCCACATCTTTTCAAAATTCAGGTTAATTTGAGTCTTCTTTATCATCTTATTGGAACTGTGATTCTTCATCACTTCTTTCAATTTGCACTCATGTTTAATTAAGTATGTCTTTTCATATGAAAAAGTTTCAAGTCTTTTTAGGAGCTATATTTTGCTAAAGAATCGGTGCAAATTTGATGTAAACTATCTGCCATGTTTACTAACCCCTAGCAATTGCACCATAGTTTACTTTTGAGCACGAAATTCACTTCTTCTGCCATGTTCGTCATGACAGATTCCCAATCCAACACATTATAGTTAGTGTTATCTAATGGTGTTGTTAACCCCTATTGATGCTTCCCGCAAACTTCTGCTGGAGTTTAGACAATATTCGAGATGAAATTGAAAGAAAAAATCATTTGGGGAAGAAAGTTTGCGTGCTGAAAAAACAAATAGAGTGGAGAGATAAAATGGGTTATGAGCACTGAGGTGGAATGTCTCGTGGCATTCACCTCATCAAATATTAGTGTCATGTAGGATTGGATAAAATTAACCGAAGAGGGGTATATTTGAACCACTAGTATTACGGCAGGAGATATTTGAGTCAATTACTCATATGGTCACTCAACTATCACAAATTATCTCTTAAAGTCACTTTTCTTTCGTTTGTAACAACAAAGTCACTGAACTATGCCTATTGCACTCAGAAGGTCACTCAACTAGAATTAAGGTTGTAAAATATATATATTCCATGACCATGATATAAAAATAATTATTTAAATAAGGGTATTTTTATAATATACATTATATATTCTTGAAAATTATGCTCAATTATATTATATATATTCCAAGCACGACTTAACATAGAATATTATACTCTGTATACTTTCCGGTGACATAACTTTTTGTCACCGGAAAGTTGGTAGAAACATATAATATAATTGAGTATAATTTTCAAGAATATATAATGTATATTATAAAAATATATTTATTTAAATACTTATTTTTATATTATGTGCATGGAATATATATTTTACAACCTTTATTTTCTTTCATTCTGAATTGTGTAAATAAATTTTTGAATTTTTGTTGTAAATTCTAAAATTATTATTACTAACAAATTATTCTAATTAATTTTTTTATTATGCTCATTATTTTGTTATTCCAGCATTATATATGCTTAAATACTTTTTATTTTTTAATTTATAATTAATATTTATTTATTCTATAGGTAAGTCCATGATATAAATTAAAAAGAGGAAAATCATAATATTAAAAAGTTTAACAAAAATAAAAAGAAGATAAATGTTTATAATTTAGAGGGTAAAATAGGTATTTGACAATTCAAAATTTGAAAAATCTCGTTGAGTGACCTTCTGAGTGCAATAGGCATAGTTCAGTGACTTTGTTGTTACAAATGAAAGAAAAGTGACTTTAGGAGATAATTTGAGATAGTTGAGTGACTATTTGAGCAATGGACTCGATATATTTGGACCCAAAATATAACGAGGGCTAGTACAGCGTTATATTTGGCCCTTTTCCCAATAATTAATAAGTGTGTTTTTTTTAAGACTTTAGTTTGGTTTAATTAATCTCCATTACAAGCAGACAGGTTATTGATCAACGTCCCCTAATCTCTAGTTGTATAAGTACTACTCTTCCTCTTTCATATTGATGAAACGCTAAGCACCCCTTACAGTTATTGTATTGTTTTTTCAAAGTCGCAAACACACGAACCGAATCCAAAATAATACTACACCAAAACGAACAATGGAATGCACACCGGGAAAAGAATAAATTAGAGTAAATTTTAGTTTACCCTATTAACCGTTCTAGCATATGGAAATAATACCCTTCATTTTTTAAATGGAAAAGATATAAATATTTTAATTTGACCTAAAAAGCCAACAAACAAAATGGAAAAATGGTCAGTGGAATTTACAAAATGACATAACTATACTTGTTTGGGGAGAAAACTAATATTGTCACCACATATTAACCAATTAATTGATATTTTAGCTCATGCCATGATAAGGGCCATCACCATACAAATATGAATAATTGGCGTGTACTCACGCGCTAATTTATTGGACAAAGAAAAAAAATCAAAGATTCACAAGTAACTTACATTGAGTTGTGTTTCGCAATTAACCTTTATTCTTCATTATTCAACAATTATGGCTAATATCTGCAAACTAAAATGAAATATATGTATATAAATCAGGTTAACAAAAATCAAATTAAGTTGATTTAGTTTTCTGGTGATAGTTTTCTCATCTTGCTTGTTGATTCTTTGATCAAAGGGGGCTCCTCTTTCTTGAAAGCTGGTATTTTTCTAAATTAGGAGGGGTAAGATGAAATTTACTCATTAAACTAAGGACGTTCAAGTAAAAGTTGATGGAACTTTCAAATTGATAAGAAAACTAAATCCAAATTAAACTTCAATTCTAAAATATTCCTTATGGGGTTCTAAAATATTATTTGAGATGTCACCCTCAATTCTCAACATCTTCCAAAGTGTCAAATAAGTGAGTAGCGACACACCCACCGAGTTTCCAAAAGTTTAAGCTAATGATTGTAACTTAGTATTACAATAACAAAATCTTATATATAATATGGGTTAGGTTGTTGATAATCATGTAGAAAAAGATTGGGAAACTAATCTCTCACCTTAATCAATAATTGTCATGTCTAAAATGAAAAGCCTCCTTTTTTCTCATTATTTGAATAAGCCAATGAATATTACTGGTCCTGTTATCAAGGATTTCTTATATATTGTTGGGTTGGTTAAACTTTCTTGTTTGAGCTAGGCCTAAAGTCATAAGATTGGACCACTAGACAAATAGGTTGAATCATGCTATACAATACTTTCTTTTAAAAATTGAAGCAAAGAAGTCGGCATTATATTCGTGTCAACTCGTTTAGAGGTCTTACGATTTCTTTACGATGATTATTTAAATTAAAATGATTTGATCTATGTATGCAAGTGGTTAATGGAAAAGACACTGCTACTAGAGAAGATTATAGTAAAGCATAGCTTTCGCGAAGGGAACATGGTAGCACATCTTTTGGCAGAAGCAGCTCTTATGCAAACTAGTTATAATAAGTTATGTACCTTTGTTTTACCACCTAAATTTGTAATAGATGCCTATCACAAAGATCAGGATGGGTTTGTCTATGTAAGAAAATGTTCAACTTCTATGTGTTGTAATATGGCTGCATTAGGTAATGACAATGCCTTAGAAGGCATAACTATAACCCATTGAGGCATGTGTAGTGACGACAGTTCACTGGGTCCCGTACCCTAGTTATTATTAATATATAAGTACCTTCTATCCTTAAAAAAACATGCTAAATATTTTTTGTCTAAATGGGCATGCTCGGTACCCGCAGTTAAGTCTCTGTCTAATCCAAATTTCCATCGCGTAAGCGCTCCAAGATAAAAGTAGTGGATTACCTTTATATTGGCTCTAATGTGGTGAAATCTTAAAGATTTAAGAACATATGACGATCCGATAGGTCGTTTTGAGTACAAGCCATATATTATTTTCGTATTTCGAGACTTCTACTAGCTTCATTTGATATTTTTTTATTTTTGGCTTCAAAAACAACTTGAGTTGACTATGGCCAATATTTTGTGCAAACGATCCCGGATCGGTAATCTGGCAATCCGGTGGGTCCGTATCGTGATTTTGGACATGGATATATGCCCGGAATTAAATTCAGAAGTCCCTAAATGATTTGATTTGTTTTGCCGAATGCTAGTAATTTGAAGGTTTGAAATTTTACTAGGTTTGACCATAGGTTGACTTTATGGCTATCGGGTTCGGAATTTAATTTAGGAACTTGGTATAGGTTCCTTTTACTATTTGAAACTTGTCTACAAAATATGGTGCAAATCGGAATTGATTTGATAGGATTGGGACACTCAGTTGTGATTTTAGAAGTTCTTGAGTTTTCTTTGAAATTTCATGCTTTTTGACGTCTGATTCATGGTTCTAGGTGTTTTTTTAGTGTTTTGATTGCGTGACCAAGTTCGTATGATGTTATTACATTTGTGTGCATGTTTGGTTTGATGCATGAGGGACTCAGGTGAGTATTGGATATGCTACAAATCATTTTTAGACTTAAAAGATTGCTGGATTCAGCTATTTTTGGTGTCTGATGCACTGTGCATCACGTTGCGAAGCTTCTCTCACGGTCGCTGATAGTAGGCTATAATTATACAATTTAGATACTATTTACAATCTAATTTATCCGCACTTTATCAATATTTGAATGTTAAAAGATAACAATATGCTCTAATTAAGAGTTTTACATTTTGCAGGAGCCACTCCGAGCTATGAGACAGCTAAAGAGTGTTTTGGAGTCAATATGGAGTGTGGAAGGCCAATCGGAGGTTAGCACGATCGAAAAGGAGAAAGAAAAGCAAGTGGTGAAGTCCCTTTAGGTGCGCGGCCGCGGATCGACCGCGCATTGGCCGCGCACTGAGGCAGAATACTGGGCGAAATTCGCGGTCCAATCCGTGGCAACGGACGAGTTGACGGAAGCCAATAATCCAGGGTCAATTATGTAATTTCTAAGGCGACTAACCTAAACCTATATGAAGCCTAATTCGCTCAGAAGAGAGGGAGAACTGCTTTAAGAGAGATTTTGAAGGCAAGAACACGAGAGAAAGACAGAGAATTTCCTTAGAGTTTTCATCTTCTTCTTTTTAATTCCATTGTTGATAATGACTTTCTATAGTGAATTTCTATCTAATAGTATGAGTAGCTAAACCTGTCATCTAAGGTTGATGGAACCAATTATTGGATGAAATCTTGACTCTTTGATATAATTGAGCCGTTTTTACTCTATGATTGTTCAACTACGTGTTGTCTTGTGATTAACTAAAAGGGCCCTTGATTAATCGTGTCTAATTATCTTGTGCTACTTGAGAAAGAACACTTGGTTAGATTGTTGTTGAACAACACCACTTTCGGGTAAGTTAAGAGATTAATTACTTGAATTTAAAAGCAGGGTTAGAGATAACGAAGCTTTGGTGGGATAATTCTAAGTTGCATAAATTGTTAATTAGAGTAGTTCGAGAGAATGCTTCTAGTAAATTATCGTAATTGATCGAGAGGTAATTGCGGTAGCCCAGAACTCATATTCTTATAGAGTGTTATGGCGTGATTATAGCTAACGTGTTAGGAATTAATCCG